ATTAATCTGCTCCCAAATAATTGAGATTAAACTGTCCCCATATTAGAGAGAACATTCCATTCCCAGCACGATGCAAAAGACATTTTTAAGGGCAAATTAAAAAGAAAATACAGAGTACTCAATAAGACTCCAGATTTTTACTGAAGGTTCAGGTTGTATATAGCCATATACCATGTGACTACACTTATGATTGTTCTAGGATCCCTGAAATGCCTTCAATCCAAAGACTGGCCAAGGAAAACTTGGTGTCCAGGCTGTTGATTCCTGTCATTTAAGGATCAGCCCTTGGAGACATTTGATACAATCTACATTCTAAGTAAAAAATGATGTCAATATCCTTGGGGGAATATAGTATGTGAGATGCCAAAGTTCCTCAAAGTTTGCATTCAATCTATCTTAAATAAAGATAAAACTCAGCCAAATCCCACCCGGGAAAAGTAAGTGTCCTGTCTTCCCCTGACCTCGCAGGAATCATGCCGTCAGCCCACTGGGACCTGTGCCACTTTGTTTAGGACGGGGAGACCTGTCACTGGAGAGTCCCAAGGGAGTATCCAAGTGGAATCAACCCCACAGAAACCTGCAACCGTCAAAAGGTGAGTTGATGAACTGGAAGTGAGACAATGTGTCTACCCAGGAGGGAAACTGCACTGTACTTGGACACACATAGATCATTTGGGGGAACAATGTGTGCAATTTAGACCGAGATCTTGGAGACATATATGATCAGGATGAGAATAGCAGAGGGGATCTTACCCCCTGCTCCTTCTTGGCTCCAGAAGGGAGTACAGGGCATGATTTTACTGTGATAGATGCTAGAATCAGAAGAGTATCCAGAAGCCCCATTTCCACGGCCTTACTTACAGGTGGGAAAGGAAGATCTGAGGTTGAGCTAGCTGGCTTGCTGGAAATCCTGAAGTATTATTCATAACTCCCTGGGCAGGGCAGTTCCTGCATTTTAAATGGCTTTTGTCAGAGTCTGTGCCTCAGAAATCCCCCCACCCCCAGAAACACACCCTGCAGGCTAACGGATGGTTAAACAAAGCATATCTCCTTCCAGTTTATTGTCTTCTCTAAAACTTGGCTAAGTAAAAAGCACTGGATTTGAAAGCTCCTGTGTGGAAGGTGGAGAGTCAATTAAGATCCCATAGTTTGGTAAAGATCTGGAGGTCCAAGTGGCTAGCAAGCTGTAAATATCTTTCAACCAGTATCCTTATGAACCAACAACATGATCAATAGGATGATTCCTGCAGCACCATGAATTAATGGAGGAATTAAGCTATTGGTTGCAGAGATAGGTATCTAAACCAGAAGAAAGAATGGATACCAGCCCACAATGCAACTCAAGCTCAGCATTATTGGACTGATTTTATAAATATTAAGAAATCACCTGCTGTTCAATAAACCTTTAGGAGCGCAGTTTTACTCAGACAATGGTCAATATCAACCCTCACCAAGCTCAAATGCATGGCTAAGTACAAGAGCCAGGGACACTAGCCTACGCAGCTTCCCTCCAACCTATTTCCTTTACTCTGGAGATGATCACAGAATCTGAGAGAACAGGTTACCATGAGAAAATGTCTGGGAGATGCTGAATGCCAAGGCAGCCCTTACCATTATTCTCTAGCTCACAGCTTATTTCTCCACCTCCCCTGGATAAACCAAGCTCTCCAATCCCTCAATTCTTGGTCACCCAAAAAAGAGTTATGGAATTCTTCTGCATGTCCCAGTGCTTCAGATTTTGCCCTACCCCAAACTGATAACTGCCTAATTGGCATTCTCAGTATCTCTCAAATCTATTGTTCCTAATCCAAGGACCAGCCTAGTCCAAGTTGCCCTCTTCTGGTCCTGCAAACCTGATTGCCTGCTGAATGGTTTCCCGCATCATTGCTCACCTTCTACAAACAGCTCTCATGTCTTCCCTTCAGCTCTTCCCCTATGCATTTCAAAACTAAGCCCAAGACTTCAGTATCGGAGTTCAAAAGGCTCCATCTTTTCTTATATCTTCCATCCCAGTCTCCAACTTCTAAGTTCACTGTCCTTCATTCACTGCTTTGCCCATAGGGCCTTGGAATGTGCTATTTCCTAATCTGGATATCATTCTGTCTCTTATCTATTTCTTCTTTAGATTGTAGCTTCATAGACTTTTGTTTCCAAACTACCCACTCACCACTACCACATCTTGACTCTAGCACTGGCATCTCCTGGCACTGAAATGGAACAAAATTATGACTTCTTCAAAGGTGTCCAGTTAAAAAGACTTCAAAGATCAGAAAGAAAAAAATCCCAGTGTCTAGCCCAAAGCACAGTAGAAACAATTGTTAGCTTCATAGATGGATGAATGTGAGTAGAAGAATATATTACTAGTTGCTTCTAAAAGCAACTTTCTTAAAGTTTGGCAATAAATCTCTTTTTATACACACAAAATAAGAATATAAGAGTAGGTAGATGATGGACTAATGAGTGGATAGGTGGATGATAAGTGATGGGTGAATAGATGAATGATGGAGGGATTGATGGACGAATGGGTAAGAGGATACATGATGGATGGGGAAAGGGATGAATGGATAAGTGATAAATGGATGGATGGGTATAGATAGATGAATAGGAGGGTGGATGGGTGGATGGATGGATGATGGGAAGATGGATAAGTATATGAGTGAGTAAATGGATAGATGGATGAAGGTATAAAATAGCATTGGAAAGATCCTGTGGGTTCTGTGGAAAGGTTCTTAAATACCTGGACTCTCTTAATTATCTTTTCTTTTCTTTTTTTTTTGGGGGTCCGGTCGTGGGGCCTGAACTGTGGGCCTGGACACCGTCCCTCAGCTCTTCAGCTCAAGGCTAGCGCTCTACCACTTGAGCCACAGCACCACTTCCAGCTTTTTTTTTCTTTTTGCTTATGTGGTGCTGAGGAATCGAACCCAGGGCCTCAGGCATGCAAGGCAAGCACTCTGCCACTGAGCCACCTTCCTAGCCCTTAATTATCTTTTCTAAATAAAGACCTTTTCTTAGGAGTCTCCAGCTGGGGTCTGAGACAGGCAGTTTATTCCTTTGACAGGCTGGGAGCCAATAAGTTTCTAACTCTCAGAATCTCCACCTCGGTTCTCTATGGAGATCAGTGTGGCAGATTTTGGTGCCTTGTTCCTACCCCCTGGGCAATGCCTTGCAATTCTCCTCTCACGCATGTCCTGGGGTGCTCTGGGCCCTTGTGGTCATGCCCAGGTGCCAAAATGCTGTGTAGTGAAGTACTGTAGTTCCATGTCACCTCAGCAACAGTTTTGAATACAAGCGAGACTTTCCCATACCAGACTACAACACAACTTCTCGCTCTTGACCTCCTTTCAGCTCTCCATTGATGTCAGCCCGGGTATCTATCATACCCAACTTCCAGTGGCCCCCTCTCTAGGGGACAGCTAGATGCAACTTTTTGACTAGACTCACTCGTCCCCATACCCACATGGATCGTGCAGATTTGCTACAGTGGCCAATCACAACGTGATTTCTCAGGACTTGGAACTGTTTATTAACCAATTAGAACTCCCTCAGGGAATCTGGCAATGTCCTGAACCTCAATAAAGACTTTGATTTACCAATCTCTCTCTCTCTCTCTCTCGTTGAATCTGTAGCTAATAAATTACTTGGAATTTCGTGTGTTCCATTGAATTGTTTCTTTTGTGTCTACTCCAACATGCCTGTATCGGACCTCTCACCTGTTCAAAGATTGTCCATATTGATCAGACTAAACTCTGTCTCCCAAGAACCAAAGGAATATAGTCACTGTCTTTAGAAAAGACCTTACGCCTAAATTAGAGAAACATGATGGGCAGCTTGCTTCTGTCTTCAGCTGTGGGAGTTCAGAGGTAAAACATTCACAGTGTTCCAGAATGTCCCAGGGACAAGGCTCCAACGTCACCTCTATTGGTTCCTTCCTGGACTACTTTGCCTCCCCTTTCTTGCTCCAAATCCTTGCCTCGGGCTCTACTTTGGAGGAATCAGCCATCCTAACCACCAAGTGTCTATGATTACAGGGACAAAGCCCTTTGACTCAGGGGCTTTGGATGAGTTGCTGTGAGCCAGGCCTCTCATTCCTTGATCAGAAATCTAGCCATGCCATGATTCATTCCCTGCTCTTGAACTCCCCAAGCCAGGGGAAGGAGGCATGGAAACCCAGGCCCAGGAGATTGGAAAAATTTCCCTTTTCTTGCTTTCTGATGCTATGTGTGTGTGTGTGTGTGTGTGTGTGTGTGTGTGTGTGTGTGTGTGTGTGTGTGTGACCCTATCACCTCACAATGCATTCTTTACACTATAAAACCCTGAAAACTGCCAAATTCGACCCAATTTGGTTTACTGTTCTTGAGCTTGGCATTATGTTAGAAACCCAGACGTTCCCACGGCCCAGATACTATTTAAAAACTGCCTATCTATTTAAAGTTCATGATGGGAGGAATAAAAGAAAAAGGACTCTCAAAGCCAAAGGGTGTCGGGGTAGGGGCATGAGATAGGAGAATGAAAAATCCAGTTTGCTTCTAAAAAAGGCTGAAAAGTATAACTATCCAAGGCTTTGGGTCTTAAGCCTCTGTGTTTTGTTTTTTTTTTAACTTTTGGTTGTTTGTAAATGAAAGTGGAATTTTATTAAGGGTTACTCAAGTTCTGAGCCCCCAAAGTCTCTGCTTACTGAGCAGCATACCATTCAGGTTCCTCATGTGATGGGAAAGAGAACAGAGCCAAAAGAAAGCATGCTATCTCGGAACTGGACACCTCTTCTCCACATCATGCTGGGGTTTCCACAGCTCTGAGCCAGGGATCAGCAAAGCTGCCTGGCCCCTTTTGTGAACAACAAAACCCATGGTGATCAAGGCAACAGGAGTTAGAAAACTATTCACTGCAGGAAGCCCCAGTATCCGGTGAGAAATAAGAATTACAAGAGCACAGGATGCGCCTTGGGTCAGGGGGATGTGAAAAGTCCAGCAGTCTTTGTGTCCTCTGAGCCACAACTGCCGCTGCCTGCTGCTGCTGCTTAAACCACAGCTCCTCTCCCAGACTGGGTGCCAGAAGGCTGGGCTCAAGTGGCTGCAATCACTGTGGGGTGTCTAGCTTCTCATCAGGGTGACCTGGAGACCAGGATGGCTACTTCCAAGAGTCTACTGTTGTTGTTGCTTTTGGGCCAGCCCTGGATGGGAGCTGAAGCTGTCTCTGAGGCTGTGGTGTGCGTGGGGACTGCCTGCTACACAGCCCACTGGAGCAAACTGAGTGCCGCTGAGGCCCAGCATCACTGCAAAGAGAACGGAGGTAACCTGGCCACAGTGAAGAGCGAGGAGGAGGCCAGACATGTCCAGCAAGCCCTGGCCCAGCTGCTGAGGTCCAAGGCACCCCTGGGAGCAAGGATGGGCAAGTTTTGGATCGGACTCCAGCGAGAAAAGGGCAAGTGTATGGACCATGACCTGCCACTGAAGGGCTTCAGCTGGGTGGGTGGGGGTGAGGATACCTCTTATAAAAATTGGCACAGGGACGTCAGGACCTCCTGCATCTCCAAGCGTTGTGTGTCCTTACTGCTGGACCTGTCTTTAACACCCCATCCCAGCCATCTCCCCAAGTGGTCGGACAGCCCCTGCGGGACTCTTCAGAATCCAGGAATCAATGTTGAGGGATTCGTGTGCAAGTTCAGCTTCAAAGGCATGTGCCGGCCTCTGGCCCTGGGGGGTCCAGGCCAGGTGAACTATACCACCCCTTTTCAAGCCACCACCTCTTTCCTGGAGGCTGTGCCCTTCGCCTCGGCAGCCAGTGTGGTCTGTGGGGACGAGACTGAGGGTAAGAACCATTATTTTCTGTGCAAAGAAAAGGTCCCCAATGTGTTCAGCTGGGACAGCTCTGGTCCCCTCTGTGTAAGCCCCAAGTTCGGCTGCAACTTTAACAATGGGGGCTGCCAACAGGACTGCTTTGAAGGTGGGGAAGGCTCCTACCTCTGTGGCTGCCGGCCTGGATTCCGGCTGCTGGATGACCTGGTGTCCTGTGCCTCTCGGAATCCTTGCAGCTCCAACCCATGTCCCGAGGAGGCCACATGTGTCTCTGGACCCCAGGGGAAAAATTATACATGCCATTGCCCTCCTGGTTACCAGCTGGACTCAAGTCAGCTTGGCTGTGTGGATGTGGATGAATGTCAAGACTCCCCCTGTGCCCAGGATTGTGTCAACACCCCCGGAGGCTTCCACTGTGAGTGCTGGGTGGGCTACAAACCTGGAGGCCCAGAAGAGGACACCTGTAGGGATGTGGATGAGTGCGCCTTTGACCAGTCACCCTGTGCCCAGGGCTGCATCAATACCGATGGCTCCTTCCACTGCTCCTGCAATGAGGGTTATGTCTTATCTGAAGAGGATGGTACCCAATGCAAGGATGTGGATGAGTGTTCGGACCCCAAGGGCAACCCGTGTGACACTGAGTGCTTTAACACACCAGGGTCCTTCCACTGTGGCTGCCAGCAGGGCGAGGAGTTGACCTCCAATGGGGTCTTTTGCATCACACTCTCTGTGTCCTCAGGATCACCAAAGCCTCCTCCAGAAGAGGACAAGGGAGATGCACAAGAGAGCACTGTGCCTCCTTCCAAAACACCCAGTTCTACCAGCGCCTCTGAGGACATCTCTAAGGGAGACCCTGAGGATATCACCACAAGGAGACTCTCCCTCTCCTCCAGTGTCCCCTCCACCTCTGCTCCGCCTGAGATGTCAGCTTCTAGTGGGTCCCCCCAAATCTGGACAGAGATGGGTGTCCATTTGCCTACAACCACCTCCCATGACAAGCCAACAGGAGAGAACTCCCTGGTAGGCAAGGATTCTGTGGCCACACAAAGCGACCATGGCACAGATGGACAAAAACTCCTTCTGTTCTACATCCTGGGCACCGTGGTGGCCATTTCACTCTTGCTGGCTCTGGCTCTAGGGCTTTTGATTTACCGCAAAAGAAGAGCCAAGAGGGAGGAAATCAAAGAGAAGAAGCCCCAGAATGCAGCTGATAGCTATTCCTGGGTCCCAGAGCGAGCAGAGAGCAGGGCCTTGGAGAATCAGTACAGGTAAAGAGACCTTGGCAGGAAGGAGGGGGCGGGGCAGGGGCAGGGGAGGGAGGCATTGGCTTCAGTCTGAAGAGGGAGGAGCAGGACATACAGGTGGATGTTAAGCTCAACCCTAGCAGCCCACCAGAGGCATGAGAGTCTATAGTATAAGTGCATGGGTGGAGGTGTGGTCTGTGGTGTGTGTGTGTGTGTGTGTGTGTGTGTGTGTGTGTGTGTAGGTGGGGGAGGATGTCTCTGAGAGTCCAGATGTGCATATAAGAGGAGCAATGTGACTCTCAACATCTTTTTTTTTTTTATAGTCCAACACCAGGGACAGACTGCTGAAGGTGACGTGGCCCCAGCAATGCGGTCAGACAGCTGCCATCTTAAGAACTTTAGATTTCCTGACTCAAAGGAAGACCTCCATCTTTCCACCAGACTGGACTGGAAACTTGACCAACAGTTGTACACATCTCCCCTTAAAACTATGGTGGCTTGGGATGAGCAGCTATTTCCCCAGTATGTATGGTATTCTTGACATACACACACATATACACACATACACATACACCTGTGTGTATGTGTGTATGTGTGTTGGCCTGTCATTATCTGTTGTGACTATCAATGGTTTTCACTCAAATGTTCCTTTTCAAATTTAAATGTGACTGATTTTATTTTCTCCTCTTGGTTCTGGATCAGGGCAGGAGTAGTCAGGTGCTAACCGGCTCCCTTTGAAGGACTCTTTGATCTTTCTATGTGATAGAAATGAAGAACATTGATTAACTTCTTTTTTGGCCTAAGGAAACCTATACAGCACTGGAAACAATTCTCTGCATTTGCAATTATTTATCTCCCTACCCCTGCCCCATCATTCCTCCTGAGAATTGTTGAAATCCTTTGAAAATGAGAGAAAGTACAATTAACTGCCCAGGTAGCAAGCAGGCAGGAAGTTTAGATATCACACCCCATTGTTATTAAGTTCCTAATAGTCTTGGGTTTACTTGCAAGTGAAGTTGAAAAAATATGAAAAAAAGTGTCTTGAATCAAGTGAAAGGCTTTGGTAAAAACAAGTATACAGGGCTAGAGAGAAAGATGCTGGCGATTTGTTTCATGAAATACTTGAGTTAATTTATCTAAATTAATTTAGCTAAATTCACTTGCTTATGGATAAGATCAACAATTAAAAAAAATTATGGGTAGCTTGTCTTGGAGCCAGCACCGGCCTCCGGTCACCCCCATAGGCTGCCCTGTCTTGAGTTTTCTGGCCAGAATTTCCGTGTTTCAATTGTAGATGGAGAAATTTCACAGTGATTGTACCTAAAGGATGTGTGAGTGAGCTGATAGACTGTGTTTTGAAAATGGTCACTTTTAAAGTATGTTAGCACAGTTCAGAGTTCAGGGTCAAGAGTGCATGTGGAGGATTTGAGCCCTGATTTACAGATGTGGCTGAAAACCAAGTTGCATAGGATGCTGAGGGGAAACTGTGTTTCTGTCCCTTTCTCTCTCTCAGAAAAAAAAAAGAAAAAAAGGAAGAGAAAAGGGAAGGAGAAGGAGAAGAGACAATAACTAAAATCTATTATAGCAGTGAAAACTGCTTAAAACCATCTTAATCTGTCTCATGTCAAAGTATATATTTGCAGGTCTCCCCTGACCCTGCTGTGGACAAGCAGCTCTGGTGTGTCCCCCAGCGTGGCTGGGAGGTTAACCTTCCCAGGATTCCGAAGCCTTTGGTTTCTGGGAACAAAGGTATTGTATCCTCCCAGAGGGTGAGACACCCTGGTTGGGAGATGAAAAACTGCCAGGTGTAGGACATGTGGAGTTAAGTAAATTTCCCTTTGTCACCTTTAAAATGTAGGTGCTATAGCTCAGATGTGATTGTCTCTGGCTAGATTTTAAGATTAATGGAAACCCCAAGGTGGAGGGGTAAGAGGACATCAGAGCTTTGAGCTTTTGAGAGGGATTTGCTCTGTGTGTGTGTGTGTGTGTGTGTGTGTGTGTGTGTGTGTTACTCACCAATCCTGGGGCTTGAACTCAGGGCTTAGGTGCTGTCCATGAGCTTTTGCTCAAGGCTAGTGTTCTACCATTTGAGCCATTCCACTTGTGGCTTCTTTGAGTAGCTTATTAGAGACTAGAGTTTCATGGACTTTCCTATTCTGGCCAAATTTGAACCCATGATCCTCAGATCTCAAACTCCAGAGAAGCTAAGATTACTGGTGAGAACTACCTGCCAAAGCCAGGTCTCCAGTTTTCCTTTTGTAATTCCATTGCTCAACCAAGAGAGAACAGTGCCGTTCCCTTAGGCAGGAATCTTCATTGAATAGAGCACCCTTCCACTCTCCTTTTCCCCAGTTGGTTGGGGTTGGCAATCCACTGCATAAAACCAACACGGACCATTCAGATGATCTTAGAGACATGGCAACATTTGCAGTTTAGTGCAATCAATGCAATACAACACCTGTACCTCCAGCCTTTATACTTTTCACACTTGTCATTTGGGGTGAGGAAAGTTTCCTTATGCTAGGCTTACTATAGCCCCCATGGTGTGCACAGATTCTAGAATTTGCCAGAATCACTTCGAGGTCCTTTGGTTTACAGCATATTCTGTTTTCTTATTTAGCCCAGTCTTTCTTTTCTGGTCAGTGTTTCAGCTCTGCGGTGGGTGGCAATGTCCCCAACAGCAAAGAATACCCACTGTAGATCCTCTCTTTAGTAACCCATAAGGGGAAAATCACTGATAAGTTTCTCAAAAAACCCCTGATGGGGCTGGGAAGATGGTTCAATGGTAGCAGAAAAAACCAATGGTAAGCAGAAAAAAACAGAAGTGGTGCTATGGCTCAAGTGGTAGAGCACTAGCCTTGAGCTGAAGAGCTGAGGGTCAGCACCCAGGCCCAGAGGTCAGGCCCCACGACCGGACCCCCCCAAAATTATCTCAAGCCAGAATTAGAGGGGTTTTTGTTGTTGTCGTTTTTTTTTTATTTTTGGTACCAGGGTTTGAACTCGCTCTTGCTTACAGCTAGCCCTTATTTGAGTCATGCCTCAATTCTGGCTTTTTACTGGTTAACTGGAGATTAGAGATTTACCAATTCATCAGCTGGGGCTGTCTTCTAACCTTGATCCTCAAATCTCAGCCTAAGATTATAAGCATGAGTCATAGTGCCTGACCATTACTTTTAATTTTGGTGGAGTTGTTTATTATTGAAGAGATGTAACAAAGGAGGGCAATTCATTGTGGATATTCATTGCCATGGAAATCTAGACCTAATTCTGCCTGGAATCTAGCTTAGCTTTGAGGCAAAAACCAGCTGTATCTGGCTTTTACTTTTGTTTTCTGACATACTTAATCATCATCACCCTCACCACCACCACTACCTTCATCACAATCATCACCATCACCACTAATCATCTTCACCATCACTTCCCAATGCTTTCCCAGCACTTTGCATCCTTCTTGTCATTTTTCTTGGAAGCTGTAACGGGATGAATGACACAAGTCTGGCTGAGATCAGAAGGGAAGCACGCTGGCTCATTGCCAGACTCTTTGGACCCTCTGGTTAAGGGACACACCCACCAACTTCCTGGAGGGTCCATCTTGACATCTTCCACTGATCAGGCAAAAATGTGGAATAAAAGTTTAAACACTTCTGTGTGCATGTTTCTTTCTATTGTACAGGGTAAATTGCATCGGAACTGATTTTTTTCCTTCCAAAGTTACCATTCTCTTTTAATTTGTAGCCATCCAACCTTGTGTAAGAAAGCTGTCACCAAACAAACAACCTTTCAATGGATGGATATGATCTTTAAGTCCTTTTGTTTCAATCCTCTTTTCCTATACATATTTCTGGGAAAACTAAGAGAACAAAGATGATAGTTGACAAAAAATAGTTACTCATTCAAAATAACAGAGCTCTAAAAAAAAGAAAATATAGGAAAGCCTTTTCCTATTATTTTTCTTCTTAGCCTCTCCATTGTTTAAATCAGGAAAACAGGAAAAGGCTGCTTTCTAGCACCTGCTAAATGGTTTAACACCCTTGCATATTTCCATCACCTTAAACAATAGCATTAGCATGGGAAACGAAAGTACAATCCTTCAAAACATCTATCCCTCCTCTGACTCCAAAATTCATGGCTTCAATCTATGTGTCTTAATTGAGCCTGTGAATCAAAAACACGTTAACAAATGATAATAATCCAAGTTCTCCACAAATTTAGCAAACACCAGATCCCAGGATCAATACTCACTGACGAGAAGCGCTTGTTCAAAAATGACTTGTGATTTTGGTCTGTTCTTGAAGATAGTGCCCATCTGTTTTAAATAAGAACTCTGGGATTCCCACAATGAGCTGCCTGTCTTATCTGTAAGGTGGCAGGCAGCTCTTTTCTGCACATTTAGTCTACTGTTTGTTCATCAGGGATGAAGTTCTTTTGCAGATCTAGCTTAAGCTTAAGTTAGATCTTGTTCTGTGATGTCATCTGGGATTATAAATGTTAGTAATTACTTCCTGAACCTTACATGGAAATGTAAATAGTTAAAAATCTGTGTATTTGGTGGGGAGGGGGGAGGCTGGGAAGGGATGTGAAGGGTAAACCAAAGGAGGAGGCTGCAATGCTTGGTAATAAATGTACGCATTATCCTGCCCATGTAATTGTAACCCCTCTGTACAGTATGTTCACAAATAAAAAATAAATAAATAAAATTTAAAAAAATCTGTGTATTTGATCTTTGTTTGGCTAATTATGGAATTATGAGATTTCTAAGCAGAATGATGTTCGTTCTGAGGAGAAATGTTCCCTAGCTGTGGAGAGGGGAGGGGAGGCTCAGAGGGCAAGCTTGTTGTAGACTCCCTACAAAATGGCGATGGAGTGGACTCACAGACTAGCCTTTAAGCTTTGTCCTACTTTGACTGTTATGCATCTATTCTAATAAACTCAGAAATATATTTGTTATGATTGTGTTTTGCGTAATCCATGACAGAACTTGGTTTTGTGTTACTTAAATGTACGTTTCCCATTTCAAAGAGTTATCTTGATGGCTAAATTTCTGCAGCTGTCACTGAGGTGGCATCAGGTGCAAGACTCTACCTTCCCGAGATACATGGTTGGATGCTGGCACCCTCCCTCAGCTGGTGCCTTTGGAGACTAGGGATACATCCCTGCATGGCAGCTGGGACCAGGCCGCACTCAGGGTTTCCCCATTTAGCATTCTGATCTGGTGTCCACTCAGCTTGGTCCCCATGCTCAGCCCTAATTCCCTGCATCTTGTTAATGGCATGAGTGATGCCTAGTGCAGGATTAAACACAGCCAATTGGTGCAATGTGAGAACACCATCCTGTAATTATCACAAAGCATTTATCACTGCTTTGTCAGTAAAGCCTTTTCAGTTTATTTAACTAATTGGACAGGCTGAGCAGATCATTCATTGCTTGTTTGGCTGCACAAATCTCACTGTGCATCCAGGTTGGGGAAAGCAGATGGTGGTGGATTCTGAGCTGCCTGCTTTTCAGATTGTGCATTTGGTAAAAAGTGAAGGGCTTAAGTGGGATAAAGTCCTCTGCTCTCTTATGCTAATGGCACAGGACACTTGCAATAAATGTCTATTGTTTAGGGTTAGATAAAGCAGATCCTTCCAGCACTCTACGCATTGACAAAATACTTTGGGAATTCATATCTAACTAGGAGCAACTGTGGCTGCTCCCTCAGTATGCACGTGCATGTAGGGGTGTGCACACACATGTACACACACACACACACACACACACACACACACACACACCCCAAACAATTACACACAATTCTAACATCTGCTTCATACTGAAAAACATGAGCCTGGCATTTAGGAAAAACTCATGAACAAAACTGTGATCTTCTGATGAGTGACTGACTCTTGGTGACTGTGTTATCTTCTGAGTAAAATATATCAATGGTAGGTAAATTTGTCCGTGAGAGTCATTTGCTTGAAAAACCTCATCACTTATATGTTATACCGAAATTCGGGGACCCCCAGAAGACCACCAGTGACCACGATCAATGTAAGCAACAAAGAGCCAGTTTATTGCAAGCTCGAGCTTGGTCCTCCACGCACATGGTAACCGGTGACGCTAAGAGGCCCTGAGCATAGAATCAGCACAGGTTTTATAGTATTGAGCAAACAACTTTAAGGAACTTTTACATAAGAAATTACCTGATTGGTTAACATTTACATTTAAAGCAAGCTAAACTGGGCAAATAATGATTGGTTGACCTTTACAGAAAAATGTCCTTGGTCCATAACTTGACCAAAAGAAGGTTATGATTCACACCCAAGGTTACCAGTCACACCCAGACCAACAGAATGCATGGCATGTCTCGACCCGGGCTCTGAAGAATGGGTTGTTTAGAAACTCTTATTAGTCCTAGGTGGGTGGGGGGGCAACACCACTTGGGGGTTAACACCTGCCTTAAGCAAACGCCATCTATGGCTCCAAGAATTGTGCGTGGCTTTTTGTCATAAATTCCTAGCATTGGGGTGTTAAACAAAAATGGAGTTGCTTAGGTTTCTTAAAACATTATTTCTTCCCTAAGGCCTTACTGCCCCAGCCTCCTGGAAGGGCGTTGCAGCTTTGGGGATGATTCTGAGGACTTTGCGCCCTTGGTCAAGGCTGTAAACCCTGTGAAATCTTTTACTAAGCAACTCTAGGCTCCCAGGCTGACATTCTACTACTAAGTGACTAAAACCAGTCACAGTTAAAATCATACAAAAACCATACAATCATCTAGCACAAAGCAATTCATACAGAAGCAAAAATGGCGGTTAGGTGCTGTCTTTACATGATTTTTTTTCTTTTACATTCTTCATATACAGATATCTGGATTGCACAATGTAAATCACATTTTTACATTGCTGACAGAGTGAAATTGTATCTCACGCATCTGTTATGTACATTCCATGGCACTGGAAATGAATCAAATTAGTATATTACATTCTCAGCCAATTCATAGGTTTATTCAGCAAGAGGAGAAAGTGATAGCA